TCTTTCCCTTGAATCTTTATCAGTATGCACAGGGATGGGAGGGCAGGTAGTGCAGGGGAATAGGACACTCCCAATTGCTGCCCAAGGTCGTTCCCACCACTGCAATCCATCTGGTCTTTGATAATTGGCTCTAACCAGTGCCCCAGGCCGAAGAAAAACTCCTGCTGTTTGCCCAGCTCCTGCAAAATAGCCTGCAGGAAAACCCTGCTCCAGTATTTATTTCCCAAATAACAAATCTGAATGCAGGCTTAGAAAATGAAGGTGTACATATAACTGTGGCCTCAGCCACTCCTGTCATATAAATCACATGTGAAAAGCCCTCTAGGTCCTACTGTGTATCCCATGCTGCTGAACTCATTGTCACCAGTAACAAGAGGAAGTGCTGAAGAATGCTGCTTACAGGCTTAGCCTTACAGACCACTGCAATGTGCTGGGGATATTTGTTATGTGCCTGAGCCATTTGCACATTGACAATCCCCAAAGAAAAATTTTGCAGCTTTTACAGACTCTGCTTTCCCAGAACAGTGCATGTGTCACATAATGTCATCAAACAGCTATGGGAGAAGAGACATCCAGTACGAGGTGAGCTGTGAGACAGAGAACTTTTTTCCTGGTGCTCCCGGGCTGCTTTGCAGTGGGTGAGTGGAGGACTGGCAAAGCATGCCCCCACCCCAAGGCTAGTGTCTGGTCATCCTGGCCCAGAATCACCAGTGCTGACTGTAGTGGACATGGGCTTCTAGTGCTGGTTTGGATCTCCTGGTTTTTGGAGCAGTTTGGCTCAGTTGTTCCCTTTCCCTGACACATGTTCAGGAAACACTGGAGATCTGAGGCCACCGCATTTTTTTCATTTAGACATCTACACCCAAGGGATCCTGTACTTTATAGCTACACTTAGAAAGACAATGCTTTTCTCACTCACAGATGTACAACACGGTGCCTGCAGGCAAGGGCGTCCCTAAGAAGCAGCAAGGCATGATTCAAAAGGCTAAAGTCATGTCTAAACAAGGAAAATGGAAAGTAGCAGGAACTTTGACAGATTAAATCTGAACATGCAAGTAAAGAAAGCCAAGAAATATATTGAGAAACAACTTGAAAGGCACTACCAACCCTATCTGAAACATACCAGGAAAGGCTGTAGGAGTAATAGATAATCACAGCGTAGCAAGACCACTCAGACAAGAGCAAGCTAGAGCTGAAAAATTTCTATGAGCTGTCTGCATATGATTTCCCTGCATAGAAACTCAGAGAGTCACATACCAGACCTCTTCTTGCCAAGGCTACATCCAAGAGGATCCAATGCAACCTGAAGTGCGACAAGATGTCTTACTGCAAATGGACAGATTGAACAAAAGCAAACCTTGGTGGTATTCACTCAAGTGTCAGGAGAAAATTCACAGGAGAAAGAATTAAACTGCAAATTGTGGAGTGTCACTTTTTTTGCTTCAAACCATGTTTTTATCAGAGAAATTTAAGGAGAGGCCAAGTGAGAATATGAGGAGCTACAGACAGCTGTAGCCTGACATCTAGACTGGTCAGACTGGTAGAAAGTATAATAGATGAGAGAATTAGTGGAAACATATGAAACTAATACTATGGGAAAGAATCCCCTTGGCATGTGTATGAGGAAATCATGCCTCACGGAGCTACTGACATTATGCAAAAGAGTCACTGAACACATACATGAGAGACAACCTGTGAATGCTACTTGGATTTACAAAGGCATTCAGAAAGGTCCCTCACCAGTAATTGTTAAAGAAATCAACCCAAGAATGTCTCAGATGGGTAAAAACTTGACCAAGAAAGGAAATTAAGGATCAGAGTCTCAGTAGTGAGTTCCCACACTGGAAGGAGGTTACCATGGGTAAAAAACAGGGATAAGTTCTGCAGCTATGAATTGTTACAGCTGAACCAGAAAGGAGGAGGAAAAGTCAAATGGCAACATTGGCTAATGATGAAATTTACTCATGGAGGGAAGGATTCTGGCTGCCTGCAAACAGTTGCAGAAGGATTCATGGGATTGAGTAATAAAATGTAAGTGAAATTCAATATTGAGGAGTGCAACCTGGTACACATGAGAAAGTCTCCTAAGCACTGGGCTGAGTGTTACCACTTCAGAACAGTCTTGTGGAGGGGTATACTAACTTGGTGCTTAGTAACTGACGGTTAAAAATGCTAATCAGATGTTCGAAGTCATTGGGAAAGATGCAGGCACCGAAATGAAGACAATCAGGGCCCTGAGGGCACCAATAGGCCTTAATGGCCCTGATCAACTTCTCCAGGGCCTCCACCCAAAACCTCTGTCTTTGGGTCCAGGGGCTCCACTTAAGCTCAGCCCTGGGTCCTCAGTCCCTGCCTGAGCTATGCTGTAGATGTGCTGCCCTGGATGGCAGTGTAACCACACTCAGCTCCCTGTCCCTCAGGGAGTAAATAGCCCTTGCTGTTCACTGATGGAGAATGCCATTATGGCGCTGTACAAATGCATGGTGCACCCAGATCTTGACTGCTGCCTAGTGCTCTCAGCCTTCCACAGCAAGAAGCTCACAGCCCAGTTGAAAGCTGCAGACAATGAGGAAAAGAATGATTAAAATTATGGTGTGATTTTGTGCCACAGCTGTTTAACTTGTGAGGGCTTTGCAGCCTGGAAAGGAGAAGGCTGGTAGAAAGAGGAGGCAAGAGAGAGGCCTCTGCTACCCTGCTGTTTTTGGCACCAGGAAGGGACTTTAGTCATGTGTACAATGCAGTGTAATTGAAGTTAGCCACAGGCTTTGTCACCTCCTTGACACATACTAAATTACTTCTCTGTACTAGGACATCTTACCCCACCTTCCAGCTCATGGACAGGTCAGGACAAGAAATGCTATTTCAGGTAGTTTAAAAATCACACTCATGTGATTGACTCAGAAGTGTGGAGCATGAATGATGAAATGTTGCGCTCGGTGTCCTAGGGTGGTGGGCGTTCTGATTTAGCAGTGAGGAGGGAGTCTCACTGTTGCCTGCTTCCTGAGTCCAGAACCTTCTGCTCATATTCTTGACAAGAATGGGACAGTCAGAGGTTTTCTGGCACTGCCAGTACTGGCTGCCACCGCAAGCTACCTGGGA